AAAAGTAACTGATGCATGTGTAAAGATTTATATAATAGGTAACTTGTCATCTTCACCAGGAGAATATTTCTGGAGCAGTGGACAGCTACAAGCCACCATGCCTCCCCTCTAACCTACCCACGGTACCAGCTGCACTCGTCTGACTCATGGAAGACATATTCTGCCCTCCTTGTTAATTTCATAATAACTAGAGAAAATATGTCAGCACACATTTACAGAACACAAATGAAATATATAGGTGTTAGATGTACACAAATATATTCAAGTTATGTAGAAATGTACATTTTACAAGGAATTATTTTTGTATTATTTTAAGTGGACATTCTAAAGCACCTAAAAATTGGTCTCTTTTTTAAAATAGCTATTTATTAAATGCTGTTCAGAATTTCTTTATTTTCACTGAGCAGAGATGGGAAAAATACTTTCTCCTTTTAGGGAAAATTGTATAACAGCTTATTAATGAATTGGTAATATAAAATTATTTTTTTGTAATTTGTGACATTTCTATGCAAATAGTACAAGCAGAGTAATTGATCTATTACTTGGACTTAACTAGTTATCAGATCCCTTCAAAGGAAAATATTTACAATGTAAAACTAATTTGGAGAAAACAAAGTTTTGATTTTCTTGTGTTAAATTCTGCTGTCAGATACTGTGCTCAAGACCACCTGAATGCCCAGATTACAACTTGCTAATAGGAAGATGTCTTGTTTTTGGAATGCAATTCTGTCATTGGTCAACACATTTAACTGGTCTTCCAAAGGCAAACAATAGCAGCATCCTCATTCAAAAATGCCTTAATCCAACCCCAAGGGCAGACCTAAGGTTGCAATGATAGCAATGGGTTTTCCCTGGTAGCTGGCTTTCTGCAGAGTCACACATGTCAGAGAAGCCCATGTTCCTTTTTATGTATTTTGATAATGGTTTCCTGGATCTTGGGCATTAGAGAAAATACTTAGGATCTTCAAGTCCCATCGTAGAGAATGAAAACACAGAACTGCTTGGTTGAGATTGTGACTGTCTATCTTGTTAAGGGATTGCTTCTGTTGGCTGACAAGACCCCACAAGATCTGACCTCAGATCAGACAAAACATCACTGTATTGTTTGTTCTAAGTTAAAGAATTGTTATTTTGCTTCCAAAATGCCCACTCACTTTGCTATAGCCATGCAAGGTGCATGCCGATGACACTGATTTTATGTTATGAAATTGGAAAAAGTTTTTAATGAACCTGTTAATTTTTATTCTGACAATAAGTATTTCTACAGATACTGGTAACAACAGAAAGTAAATGTCATGCAGGTTTTTAAAAAAATTATAGTCTGCACATTAGTATTTCAAGTTTATTTTTCTCCCAAAAAACTATTCGTTTGTTGGTTTTCGAATGCCTGGACCCACGGGCTGGTCTCCAATCAACCCGACAACTGTGACTCCGTGTCTTAGCTCAGCCACAGCCAATTTGGAGCAGGCTCTGTGTCGTTTCCCCTCTGCATGGGAAAACAGAAATACCACCAGACAAAGGACTTGATCTTGGACAAGGCAAAAGTTTGAAACAGGGGATTGGACATGGCTGACTAGAGGATTCACATCACAGAAGATGAGGAAACATCCACAGGGAAGGCAGAATCTGAAAGATCCAACACGGCTGAGTGAAGGAGGAACCATTTTAGAGACTCACAAAATACCAACCAGAAGCACAGACAGGAGGACCACCCATCATAAACGGAATGAGGCATAAGAGGGGTTAACCAAATGCAATGTGGTGACCATGTCTAATCACTGGTTTGAAGATTCTAACCCACACACTGTCCAGACAACCACAGAACATTCCACAGGAAGAGAGAAACTGAGACCGAATGAGAGGCAGTTGGAATCTGTGAGGAAGACGTGGGGCACCGCTTCCAGAGCGGCTTTCCACAGTCAACAGTTGGTGAGTGACCTCAGTCCAGTGCCTGCATATTTGGGGCATGCGAACACTGGTGTAGGAAGGGCTGTGTTTGAACCCGAGTCCCAGAGCAGCCCCCTGGCTCCAAGCCATGCTCCACACGGTCAAGTTCCAGAGTGGGTGAGGGAAGGACAGCCAAGGGAGACAGCTAGCTGGTGTTTGGAGGGCGGGCTGGAGGAGTCCTGCGGAGGGGCTGGAGCTGGTGAACACGGACCTGGCCTATGTGGTCAGAGGCCAGGTTCGGCCTGAGTTACACAGGACTGGAAGGTCACAGCGGTGCCCTGAGCCCACTGTATGTGGATGTCTGCACCCAGCACCATCTCGGGGGTGGATTGCCACCTCAGACGTCCAGTGTGAGCAGAGGCAGTCCTGGATGGAGCTCTGCTTATTCCTAAGCTGTGAAAAAGAACCATGCATCCAAAACAATAGGAAAAATTTTTTTTTGCTGTTTTCCTCTGTTCATCCCTCCATTTTTATTCCATTATTTCCACCTTTTTTCCCATGTGTATGGATGTCTCTATTCCTCTTGCTTTTTTCTTCCAATAGTTTATAGAAGATAAGAAAATTCTGTTCCTTTTTATCCCTTCTCCTTTATCTGTATCTTTTCATGACTTCGTTCACCTGTTTTTTATCCTTTCTCTATTTTTTCTTCTCCCCTTTTAATTTCTTTTTCTCTAACATTTATATTAGTCATAGAATCCTTTCTCATTTTCATTCATTAGTGATTTTATACTGCTTTTCCTGTTATCCCCGTCTAAACGTAAAACATACCTCTACTGTTAGGATTCTTTGCCTCCCTCATATTTCCTCCTTCTATACCACATGGCAGAAAGTTTTTTTTTCTTTTCTTCACCCCTCTGTCATTACCTGGTGCCCAAGGCCCTGAGTTTAAATAACTGATTCATAAAAATAGTGTTGAAAAAATTTTAAACCATAAGAGGAGACATAGGTATCACATTTAGTGCATATTAAATCTGGGTCCATACTTGGGCTGTTATGATGCTTACACTGTAATTGGATTTCTTCTCTAAGCTAAAGGGAGATCCAAAATTGGGCCTGATGCTATGTTCTCAACGTGCCCCAATACATGCCACTATAGCTGACTGTTACTACTGTAGCTGACTTAACCACCTAGGAATACTCCTGGTTCAGTGAACAACTTTATGCCAATGAATCTACGTGCCAATTCTACCACACGCAGGGAGAGGGTCAGCAAGAGTCCTAACCCAGGAACTTGTACCAGATCAGACTCTGCCAGAATGCCTGCAACCCTTTCTGCGAGTTAGCTTTCTGAGTGTGAGCTAGTTTAAGTACTGCAGTGGAAGAGTAAGAGTTATTGGGGTGTGAGCAATCAGACTCTCTGGCAAAGAAGCTACATGTGACTCACTCACACATACACTGCCTCACTGGAATATTTAATGTGTCCCCACTGGATAGCTTACAGAATTGAGTTTTGTTTGTTGACTGACTTAGTAGTGTGGGGTTATGTTGTTTTGATTTTTTGTTATTGTATTTTGTATTGTATTGTATTTTGTGTACAGTAAGTCCTCAAATTACAAACGAGTTCCATTCCAGGAGGTCTCAAAGTTGAGTTCCTTTCTAAGTCCAACAAAAGGAGTCTTATACAGTAAACCTTTCACTCCAGCAACGTTTGCGGTGCAAATGTCCATAACTTGGGACTTGCTGTATTTTCTTCTTCCACTGCCTCTGTTCTCATCATTGTCTCAGCCCCTGTCCAGCTTCGTCACCTCAAACTCTTTATTCTTTTCCCACCTCCATAAACTCTTCCTCGTCTTTAATTTCCCATGCTTGGCTCCCCACTGTCGTTCCTATCTTCTCTACTGTGAGCCTTTGGCTCTCCTGTATCTTACTTAGCCTACTGTCCTATCAGCAGCTTCTGACAACCACACAGCTTTCCTCGGTCACAAAGTACATCTCCTTCCTACCATCTCTCTTGCCTCCAACAATATCCTCTGAAAACTCTCAATGCTAAGCCTTCATTTTAATGAAAAGTGCTCCAACTGAAGCAGACCCACATCCAACTTTTCATCTCTTCTATCACTATCCTCCCCCAAAACCTGCCCCTTAATGTTTTAAACAGCTCATCTAAACACCTTCCATTCTCCTCCCTCCAGAACTACAAATAATAAATAAGACACAGGTGTAGGGAAGGATTTTATAATAGACCTCAGCTGCACAAAAAATAACAGCAAGAATCAACAAATGGGATTATACCAGACTAAAAATCTTCTGCACAGTAAAACAGCCAATCAGTAGTGTAAAGAGACAACCTGGGGGGGGGGGGCCAGACAGGCCAGTGATTTAGCCCAGTGGCACTGCACCTGCCTCACAAGTGCAAGGTCCTGAGTTCGAACTCAGTATAAAAAACTTATTTAATTGCCATAGGCCTAAGTTAGAATATATAAAGAACTCAAAAACATTAAATCATCTAAAATTGAAGACCCAGTTGAGAAGTGGGCAAGAAAAATGGACACCTCGCAGGGGAAGAAATATAAATGGTCAACAAATATATGAAATGTTGAACATCTCTGGCCATTAGATAAATGCAAATGAATATGATAAGATTCTATCTTACTCCAGAAAGAATGGCTATCATTGAGAAATCAGACAATAACAAATGGTGGCATGGCTGAAGTGAAAAAGGAACACTCCTTCACTGTCGGTGGGAATGTGAACCAGTACAACCATCATGGAAATCAGTACGGAGACTTCTCAAAGAAGGGAAATCAGAAATTCCATATAATCCAACTGTCTCCCTGTTAGGTATCTTCCCCAAAGAGCGTAAGTTATCATATACAGTGACACATGCACACCAATATTTATAACAGTGCAATTCCTAATAGCTAAATCCTGCAAGCAGCCTATACACCCATCAACAGATAACTGGATAAAGAAAATGTGGTATCTATATATAATGCAATACTGCTAGCTATAAATAACGAATTTGAGGTGTTTGTAGAAAAATGGGTGCATGTGGAATATATAATGTTGAGTGAAATAAATGAGACACACAAGTTAAACACCATATGGTATCTCTCACGTGAGACACAGAACAAAGAAAATGAAATAGGATGGATAGAAAGGGTCAAGAGGACAGATCTACTGCACCAAGAAAGGGGTCCAAGGAAACCAGGATGAGGGGTGGGGAGAGGGGTAAGGGAAGTAAGAAAGACAGACATAAAAAAAAAGAAAGACAGACAGACGTGCCACGTACATGAATCTAATAATCCCAGTTAACGTAAACACTGTCGTAACAGAAGGTAGGACAAATAGTATCGACAAGTGTGAACAACGGGTAGAGGAGCAAGTGAGGAAAGGGGAGAGCGTGGGATGGGAAGGGGTTAAAGGAGAAACAAGCTGTAACATGTACCTGTACCGCTCCCAAGATGACTGTAAACTGCATAATTGTAAACGTGTACTAAAAAAATTTAAAAATACATGCTCACGATTCTCTGAAAATACGTTATCTTGAAATATATAATAAAATTCAAAAATATCTTTTGTTGCACAGAATATGGAGTATACGCGCCAAAAATTTAAAACAAAAGCAGGGGCAAAATTCCAGCAATAATAGAAAATTAACAACATTAATTTTTAGTGGCCTATGCCTCCTTACATACTTATCCTACTTGAAAGTCAATAATATATTTTAGGACTGAGGATTTAACTTGGTGATACCTTACCTGCCTCACAAGCACAAGGTCGGAGTTTGATCCCCAGTAATAATAATAATTTCAATTAACCATCTTTAATTAATGCACTATGCACTAAGCTCCAAGACACCCCAAAATATATAATGTCAACCCAATAGCTTTACATTAAATACTACAGATACATATTTATTTTTACTGAAAAACGCAATATTTGTACTTTAGGATCTCATCATCTGGGATTATATTTTCTGGAAAATTTATGAAGAAATATTGACATTAAACTCTTTGTACTATTTGTAGTGGTCCTCATAAGAAATTTTACAGGAGTTTCAAAACAGGCTTACATATATAAAATTTCTCCCCAGTGCGACTCTTTCATGTATGCATAATACATGTTTGTACTGAAAGCTTTCTCACATTTGTTTGCAAACACAGGGTTTCTCCCTAGTGTGATTCATTTCTATGAAATGAGGACTTAGCAGAAAATTCTTTCTGATATTGCTTACGCATGGAGACCCTCGCCAGTTAGTTCTTCTGTGCTTATGACAATCACCACTTGTGCTGAAAGCTTTCCCACACAGCATGCTTACATACTTAGGGTTTCTCCTCAGTGTGAGTTCTTTCGTGTCTTTGACAATGACCATGTGTGTTGAAAGCTTTTCCACACTGTTTACATACATAAGGCTTCTCCCCGGTGTGAGTTCTTTCATGTATTTGACAACTAGCATGTATGCTAAAGGCTTTCCCACATTGCTTACATACATAGGGTTTCTCCCCAGTGTGACTTCTTTCATGTATTTTACAATAACCCTGGGTACTAAATGCTTTCCCACACTGCTTACATACATAAGGTTTCTCTCCAGTGTGAGTTCTTTCATGTGCTTGACAATTAACCTGTGTACTGAAAGCTTTCCCACACTGCTTACATATATAGGGTTTCTCCCCAGTGTGAGTTCTTTCATGTCTTTGCCAATGACTGTGTGTGCTGAAAGCTTTTCCACAGTGCTTACAAACATAGGGTTTCTCCCCTGTGTGAGTTCTTTCATGTACTTGACAACTAGCATGTATGCTAAAGGCTTTCCCACATAGCTTACATACATAGGGTTTTTCCCCAGTGTGACTTCTTTCATGTATTTTACAGTAACTCTGGGTACTGAAAGCTTTCCCACACTGCTTACATACATAGGGTTTCTCCCCAGTGTGAGTTCTTTCATGTGTTTGACAATTAACCTGTGTGCTAAAAGCTTTCCCACACTGCTTACATATATAGGGTTTCTCCCCAGTATGACTTCTTTCATGTATTTGACAATGACTGTGTGTGCTGAAAGCTTTCCCACAGTGCTTACAAACATAGGGTTTCTCCCCAGTATGACTTCTTTCATGTACTTGACAACAACTGTGTGTGCTGAAAGCCTTCCCACATTGCTTACATACATAAGGTTTCTCTCCTGTGTGAGTCCTTTCATGCACTTGACAATGACTGTGTGTACTGAAAGCTTTCCCACACTGCTTACATACATAAGGTTTCTCCCCAGTGTGACTTCTTTCATGTATTTGACAATTACCATATCTGCTGAAAGCTTTCCCACACTGCTTACATATATAGGGTTTCTCCCCAGTGTGAGTTCTTTCATGTATTTGACAATGACTGTGTGTGTTGAAAGCCTTTCCGCAGTGCTTACACACATAAGGTTTCTCCCCAGTGTGAGTTCTTTCATGTATTTGACAACAACTATGTGTGCTAAAAGCTTTTCCACATTGTTTACATACATAGGGTTTCTCCCCTGTGTGAGTTCTTTCGTGTACTTGACAATGACTGTGTGTGCTAAAAGCTTTTCCGCAGTGCTTACACACACAGGTTTTCTCTCCAGTGTGCATACTTACACGTCTGTGAAAGGAATTACTGTAAGTGAACATTTTCCCACATTCCTTAGATACATAGAGCTTCTCCTCAGCATGCCTTCGTTCAGGTGCTTGAATACGGTGGGGTGAAACAAAGGCTTTGTCATACTGTTTACATACATATTGATTCCCCCAACTGTGATTTCTTTCATGGATCTGAGTATCATTGGGTGTGCCAGAGGCTTTCAATTTTCTCTTACACACAAAGGTCTTCTCTCTGAGGTGAGTTCTTGCACTAAGACCAGAGCAGGATTTCCCACTCTGATTACGCTCACAGGGTTTCTCTCCACCCTTTGTCTTCGCACGCTTCTGAGCGGACTGGAAATCGCCACAGGCTCTTCCATTTTCATCACATTTATACAGCTCCTCTTCAAAGCCCAAATACTCAGACGGCTTCAGTCCAGGGTGAGCTACGACGGGCACATTTAGTGACAAACGCCCAGTCAGGGGCTTTCTACAAGCAAGACTTTCAGCTGATGTTAAACTAGCTTGTTTCATGTCCACAATAGCATCTGGAGTCCAAAGGAGTATTTCTTCATGTTGATTCCATGCATTATATTGATAGAATTTCTCTACATGTTTATTTCTATGAAAAAAAAAAGTCACAAAAAATGGATCTCCATATTAATGATTTACCAGAACAAGTTTCCACCTTCTAAAAAATACTGACAATGAATCAAGTGAATGGCCTGGAGGATACATTGAAAATGGCCAATCCCAAACAAATGGCATGCATTTGGAAACGTTTTCATTGGAACATTTTGCAACGCATAAGCTTGGTTTCACTCTCAGAAGTTGGTACATGTGTATATCATACATGGATCGTTTTGTCACCACTGCCCTGGCACTCTCCCCCTTCTCTCATTCCGATCTCCCCAAAGCCAGGCTTGCCTTTTGCTATCACCTCTCCTATACTTTACTCTCTAATTTGTATTTTGATTCTCATATAAGAGAAACCGTGATATTTCATATTCTGTATCTGACTTATTTCCCTAAACATTATGGGTTGAAGACCAACTCAGTTCTTTTGGTATCACTGATCTTTATGGCTGATTATATAGAACATTTTCTTTTTTCCTTTTCAGTGCTTGGAATTAAACCCAGGTCTTGGTACTGAATTACATCTCCAGCTTTTTTTATTTCTTATTTTGAGAAAGATTCTCAATGATGATTAAGTTGCTCAGGCTGAGCTTCAACTTGCCATCCTGCTGAATTTGCTTTCCAGAGGGCTGATTTTATAAAATGCACCATCATGCTAAGCCTATCGAAAATGTTATCCATGCATCCAATGATGGACATTGAGGCTGATTTTAAGTCTTAGCTGTTATATAATGTCCTGCTTTCAGTATCGTGTGTTAGCATGATATGATGGTTTTAACTCTTTGTGACTATACCCAGGAGAAGTACACCTGTATCAAACAGAAATGCAATCATTGCTTTTTGAGACATCTGTATACGGCTTATCACAGTGGCTGTTCTTAACATTGCCACCAATGTTGGAAGCTTTCTTCTAAGAATTTTAAAACATGAATGGGCCCAATTCTCTGGAGGATGACAGCTTGAAAACATCTATTATTACAACACTGGCATTTATTTGCATATTGAATACTGTTTCACAGTTAGCAATTTTTTTAGCTACTGACTCTCTCATGCTCAGACGTATACAAAAATCAATATCCAGAACATGGATTCCTGTCAAAACTCAAAATTTATTCTTTTCGTATACACCTACTCATATACACAATACCTAAATGCAATATTATACATTTTCATGATGTTGATTGTGAAAGAACATTTTTATACTTAAATATCAAATAGTGTCACTTGCTGCATGACATCTGCACTAACTCAGTTTCCCATATTGGAATATTTCTCTGTTTGTCAGATTACACGTACTCAAGCCATACATCTTTGGAGAATATTTCTGAAATTAAATTTGAACATGGCCTCGTTTCCTTGGTTGTCATATTTCTGCTCACACACAGCCTCTTAACAATTCCTTTTCCTTCTGAATGCAAATTACCTTAGCTTTCTCCAGTACCTTTTGTATTCTTCTTCAACTTCCTGGTTATCCCAGACTCTTCCTGAATTGTAGACATAAAAATATAAGCAATCATTTTTTTATTACATAAACATTAGTAGATTCCAGTTAGATTCATTCTGTAATGTAACCAGACCTTCAATATTCAAAATGTTTTCATATTCTATGTAATTAAACTGCAACAATGAGCAAGAAGCAATGAGAAAATGATGTCTTTTTTACCTATAGCAGCCATGTTCATAAATATTTCCCCCATCACATCTCTGTAGAGCTTCTTTTGGGATGGATTCAGCAAAGCCCACTCCTCCATGGTGAAGTTCACAGCCACATCCTCGAGGGTCACTGCCTCCTAAATGACCAATCATAAATTTCTTCAAGGAAGGTTGACTGACAGCTGGGATAAAAAGCTGAACTGACAGCCAGGTGTAGTGGTGCATGTCTGTAATCCCAGCACCGGGGAGGCTGAGGCAGGAGGTTTGCCGTGAGTTTGAAGCCAGCCTCAGCTACACAGTGAGTTCAAGGCCAGCCTGCACTAAATAGGGAGATCCTGTCTCAAAAACAAATGCTGAATGGAGGTTGAATCCTTCAACTACTCCTTGTCTTAGTCATCCATGTGTAGGCACATTTTTAGACAGTAATTCTGATGCTAGATTGCCACTAGCACTGGTTCTTCTGCTGGGTAACTGCAAGGGTATCTGCACTGTCTCTAAAACAGAACTCACAGAGCTTACAAGATCACCGTCCACAAAACAATGTGGCAGATGAATATCTAATGAATGGCTTTGATAGATCATGGGTGCTACCTCTTATCAAATCTTCTAATTTCTGACATTAAGTCCTTCTTTCTTTGTACTTCGGTGATATTGTGAAACCTGAACTTAGTTTCATAGAAAAAACATAACTGAACATCAAATAAGGTTTATGAATAATTAAAATGGAAAACAGTTTTACTGGAACAAGTCTGTAAATAAAATAGAGAAAAGGTGGCACATTATCTTATAGGTTGCTGTCACCAAATGGTCACCTTGCACTTGAATAAGACATTTCAGTAGGGTATAAGAGAGTAATGAGGGAAATAAACTGAATAAAAAGTATTTTATGAATTGAAAACCAATATATTCCAAAATAATCAGACACAAAAGGTACCAGGTGTGGTGATACAAGCCTGTAATCCCAGCACATGGGAGGCTAGTGCAGGAGGATTGCCAGGAGTTCAAGGCTAACCTGGACGACATACTAAGTTAAGGCCAGTTGGAAATACAAAGTGAGACCCTACCTCAAACTACCCCCCAAAAAGGAAAACTTCAAAAAATTGTGTCATTTACAAATGACACCTTTGAGTTGTTAAAAAAGTATAGCAGTAAAATATAATAAATTATAATGTATGTATTTTCTAAGCAAGAAAGTGGATAGCTTATGTAATATACATGAAAGATTCAAATTCAACCTTTCCTGAGACTAGAGTGAACAGCAAATGGATCTAAGAAAAGAAAGACAGTCTTTAATGTGTCCACATGTACAGAGAATACCGATTCATGATAGAGCTGATGTTATATATGTCTGCGAATCTGTTTCATTTATGTTTCAGGAAAGATTTTTATGTATTTGGAATCCTAGACTATATATTCTTCTATGTATCTATGTATGTTAAGTGATATACTGAAAAGGGAAAGAAACTTGAACGCCTTCAGAATTCATAGGGAAATGACTCCTAATGTGAAATAAATTGTTTTCTCAGACAAAAGTCGAGAAACCATCAGAATTAGGATAAATTGAAATACTGAATATCATGGGAAATAAGACAAGAAAATATTTCCTGTATTCACAGCATAAAGATGTTATACGGGGTAAAGCACAATAGATACAAATTTTTAAAAACTGCCTACCACATATCGAACTCAGGAAAAAACACTGAAGAGAAAACAAGAACCAAATCTTTTTTCAAGAAAATCACCAAATAAGAAATGCGGAAGAACATACTGAGGAAGTAGACTTATGCAAGAATCACGTGATACACTCTACAGCCATTTCCTTTACTCTGCAGTTGACCAGTGACTTTTTTGCAATGTTCAGAACATAGACTAGCGATAGATGTGATTCTTTTCAAGTATTCTACATTTGAAAAATCCTGCACCGCATGACCAATGGAATGTATGTGAAAGTGCTTTGCCCTTGATTCACATATCAGCACTTGTGAACAACAGTGAAACAAACTAAAAGTATTTCTCTTTGCAATTTCTATAGCACTCACTTATTGAAAATTCCAAAGGAAGAAATTAAAAGAACACTGTTCATCACAGAAAATTATACATGGTAAACACGGGAAAAGTCACCAGAGTGGGAGAGTAACAACATGGGCAGGAGAGGCTGGAGTCAAGTGGGGTATCAATCAGCTGAGTACTCTCACTGATTGCCCAAGGCCCAATGATAAAACTTTCTGAATATTCCCTGGATATTTAATTATTATTCTTATTAAATTTCACCAACAATTTTAAAATTAAAATGCATTGCAAAATAGGAAAACACTGAATTGCTAGTAAGTACACATTAATTTATATCTGTTTGTCTGCATTCATATGTAAAAAAATGAGACATCACACATTGGGCAGCAATAAGCAAAGCAGCACGGCTGCAAACATGAGACCCACAGGCTGCCAGCAGGCAGTGGTCAAACTCTATACTGCCCATGAGAAGAAAAGGTGAGAGGGCCAGATAAAGAGAATGGATATCAAAGTTGATCAATGTCTAGATGTCTGGGTTATGGTGCCATTTCCATGCCCACCTGGACAGGAATGGTTGCTTCGCTCGAGCCGAGTAGGATAAATACAAAGCTATTCAAAAGTCACACCAGTCTATCATTGATTCAACACAACAGCAGAAGCTAGATTAATTTGACATTATTTAATTTGTACCTCAAAGTAAATAATGATCACAGTGCTCAGACAGATAAAAAGCAGTTCTCTGAAAACAGTTGTTGATATATATTCCACTAAATAAAGGATCAAGCTGCATGAGGAAAAACATGAATGTGAAGAGAAAAATCACTGATTCACAACTCTGCCTGAAGATTTCAAAGCAAATCTACCAGTTTATAGATGAAGAAGGCAGAAAAATGTATAATGGAACAGATAAAATTAACATCATGCTTCACGGGGACAGACTACATATTGCATAATACTTTATCAAATAATTACATAGTACACAGATGTCTCAAATATTCTAAATAGACCATGTTCAGAACAACAATAACTTCTAGGAGGCAAAACTGAAATATGTTATAGACATGTACCAACTCGCTACAATGAATGAATCATTAGGTACTACAAAGATGTACAAACAAAAGGAAAAATATTAATGTGTTCAAAGTAATGGAAATCATGCAAAGCAAACTCTCACACCTACTGAAATGAAATTCAAAACCAACAGCGGAGCTATATTTAAAATATTCCTAAGAATTGGAGATTAAAATACAAATTTTAAAAGGTATATGCTTTAGGCAGAAGGCTTGATTAAACATTAAGGGTTTCATAACATTAAAATGAATATGTACAACATTATCATTTCTCAGGCTCAGAAACAGATGCTTCAAAAGAAATGTTTACAGCAGCAGTTATTAATAGCTAAATCTTGCAAACAGCCCAAATGCCCATCAACTGGTGACCGGATAAAGATGTGATTTTTATATACAATGGAGTATTACTCAGCCATAAAGAAAGATAAACTTGAGACATTTATAGTTAAATTGATGCACCTTGAGACTATACTCTTAAGAGAAATAAATCAGACACACGTATCTCAGAAATAAATCAGACACATATCTCTGATGTGAGAAACTGAAAGTGTAAATGAGAACCAAATACGAAGTGTGAAATACGAAGAAAATGTGCAAAGGGGAAGAGGAACTAGGTGGGCGGGCAGGGGAAAGGAAGGGGAAAAAATGAGAAAATGAAAACAAAGCTTTTATGAATGAGAAGGATGGAGGTGTGGAAGGGAGGGAAGGGGAATGGGAAAAAATGAGCAAGATACATCATGTGCAGGGACAAACTCCCTATGATGAATGTGATCATTATGTACACCTAAGATATACCAATAAACTTAATTTAAGAAAAGAAATTCTCAGTTTGGGTTGAATAGGCAGCTCCTTCTGCAAATTGACTTGTGCAGAATTACTGGCCACTGTAAATTGATAGCTTTCTCCCCCATTTTCTTCACATTCTAAACTACATGAGGACCATGTACATATGTACACATGTATGTAAGTAGGCAGTGCATTGCTTAGACCACAAGAGTCTACGCATACTTGGAAGGCGCCCTACGACTGAACCTCATCACAGTAACATTACATCTTTCTTCAGATTTTCATGGCTTTTATAAACACCTTCTAATGATGAGTACTGTGGGGAAATTTTGGAAGTGACTGCCATCACAACGAAGAGCAGGGTTCAGCAGACAACTTGTGCTGTTGAGAGTCTGCATTCTACACTTCTAAAAAATTACCAGCTGTCATTCATTTTCATATCAACATGACAAAATATTCAACACCCACAACTTAAAATGTGAGAAGTGTACTTTGCCTCGCTACAGTTTACTAGCTCCAAGGCAGATACAGGAAGGCAGATGGGGAAAAATGTACTCAAGCCATGGCAGCCAGGGGAAAGCTGGGGAGAGAGCACACTTTTCTAGGCCATGACCAACCTCCTCACAGCACTTTCAAAGAGTGAACCTATCAACAGCTCAAACCACTGGTGAATACAGGTCCCACACAAACCAAACAACTTTCAAACTTATGAGACCTTTTGGGAACATTTTTATAAACCATAATACAAGGTCAGCTGTTGGAAGAAAACAACAATTCCAACAGCACGGTCCCACCCAAACAGAAACCTCAGACAGGAGTCAGGGGTCTAAGCCAATCACCCTTGCTCACTGTACAGCATGGTGAGGAGTGGAGTTGCAGGCATTTAACTGCCAAAGGTAGGGCTCTGGTCATGGTCTGGTCCCTCACTGGGACAGGACAGGATGCTTAGCTCCTGGCAGCAGTCACTGCCCCACATAAAGGCCAAAGTGCACCAGTGATAGTTGCATTTAGCAACAAAGATCCAACTGTTACAAGAAGGCCCAGGTACTGGCCAAGGATGGTTCTGTTCACTTCCAACCAGAACATATGCCTCTGCCACAAGCTCCACTCCTTCCTCGGGTCACTGCACTGCACAATCACCCATTCCAGGACTGAGTCTCCCAGCATCTGTCCTGTGGGCACAGTCAGTGGAACCCACAGAGCAAATCAGGCTGAGCCAGGTGGGAGGGCTCTCAGCAACACACTGGCAGCTTCTGCCTTGGGTGCCTGACAGAGAAGGACCCCCTTCTCAAGCCAGCGTTCCTGTCTGGACAGTTCATACAGCACAAACGCTTCTTTAGTGATGCAAAGCTGCACTGCTTCCTGCCGACTGAGCCAAGAGAGAAAAG